AATACGCCAGTCACTTGAACAAATTTGGAACACAACTAACTTAAAAAAATGTATTTTCAGTTTGAATAACAAACACTTCTTCAATTATCTTTATCAACATGAACATCCTCTTCAGTTTTTCATTCTTAACAGATGGTAATCCAACATCACAAAAGGATGTACTAGTTCTGTTATTGTACATATATGTCCAACAGCAAAACAACTTCTCATCCACAATATTTTCTATGAAATATGATAAAGCTAATATCACACTATCCAGGCCACAAAACAGCTGTAACAGTTTTTTTCATTTGTTTGTACTTATCGGAATAAAAGAAATTTTCCTTTGTCGTAATAATCTGTGTGTTGTTCTAATAATCTTTTACATTGTTCAAACCAATCTTAGCAAGAACATAGCATTGTTCTTCTTTAGATGCAAAATTTCCTTTTGAATATTCAGTGCCAGAGGGTTTTTCATCACCTGACATAAGTTGACCAGTATTATTTGGACAGACTCTTGATAGAAAATCTAAACCAACAGGGTTCGCATCAGCAATCATTTCAGTACTTTTAGTTCTGAATATACAGATCTGTTAACTTGTAGTTTATTGTTTACATCCAAATTTATGTCCGAATTACTCTTCCTTGTATTTTCATGGTCATAGAAATTGTCACACTCATACATGTTTAGGGTAGCACTCTACAGTTAATTTCAAGTTCCTCAGCCGTCAATGTCCTACAAGCAATACGTCTATTTATTCTGATACCAAACTACATAACCTGGAAAAAGAAAACACATTTTGTTGAGAACATATATGACATAAGATTGCAAATCTACAAAGAAATTATCCCATCTGCAATAGGCAGGCAGTAAAAAAAATGCAATTCATTCCGTTAAAGCCCAAAATCTACAGTGGACGGAGACCCAAAACAACACATTTCGTCCCTCTGGCAAATATACAGGCTAAAGGAATACCGTCTCTGCTTTTAAGCAACTCTCTAAACATGCAAAATATCACAAAGTAACTGGTGCTCAACCTTGTAGAATTTTTGCTACTGCTAAAAGTTGTCCTTATAAAATTATATTAAAAAAAAATAATATGATGGACACTTGTATGAAATAACAACAAAATTATACCCTAAAAATTTAAATGTAGACAACAAATATTATCATATCTTTATCTTAAATTGCAAGTATAATATGAAATTAGGCAAGGCCTATGAAAGGGGAAGTCGTTACAAAAATTATTTCATTCTTTCCGTTTTACAGGTGTCATTCGGTATTTATTGCATCGCTTTCGTTTTCACTCAGAACACTCGGTGATTATTATTAATCCAAAAAGTTGAGATTTATTCCGTTATCGGAATACCCCGCCTATTATGGTTGAGTTGCATTGTAAATGGCGGCGCCCGACTAGAACTGACACTGAAATTTTCATTGATAGTATAGAATTTTGTATATTTTCAATTGATTTTTTATTTGATTTTCATTTAAATATACACGTGTAGTCTATAGCCGGACAAGCCAAAGCCCGGACCAGCTTCGGCGGGCCCGGTCTTTGACTTCCCCGTATTAATTAATGAATCTAGATCAGCAAATCAAATGTCACAAGTTAATTTTCTTAAAAAATGTAAATGAAAGAAAGTTACAGCCGGCTTATTCAAGTTATTTTATAAAAAATAATTTATTTTCTCTTTACAAAAATATATGTTAGGCAAACAAAGATGAATATTACTATATTTGCCTTTATTTGGGTATAGACTGGGTACTTCGTGTGGGTCGATTTGTGCCGCCGGTTTCCCATGTTTCCGTAGCCAAATATCCCCATAAATACCCCTCGGAATTAATTTCATTCAAAGACGGCCATCTCCAATTATTTGCAACTTTGCTTTGTTTCTCTAGGACTTTGGTATTTTGCCTCGCGGGCAGAAACTTCATGATGAGAATTACTTTTGTTTTTTTTTGTTTTTTACGGAAGTACAAACTAGCCGGTCACTCGTTTTCTATAATCTGATTCGACAATCACAACTTGTCCGACCAATCAGAAGCGTTGTTTCATACCAAGGTGCGTGATGCACACAATCGCTCATAATGGCATTAATGCACAAAAAAAAAAACTTTTTAAATTTAACGAAACGGACAAAAACATCACCTGTTTATAAAATTAAATGGGCAATACAGTTCTTTCAGTTCTCACTCGAGATAAGAGGCAGCCTATACCCCTCAGAAATCTAAACGGATTCACAAAAATGATCCTGGAGACTGTCTAAAATCCGGAATTTCCGGACTATTCCGGAAGTTATTCTAATAATAAATATACAGCTAGCAAACGGGTTGTAGCACTTGCCGTGGTGTTAGAACAAACATATTGTTAAATATAATGACATTTACCTTCTTCAGCTTCTGAAAACCACGAAATCCACCCAGATTGCATGTTTACAGTTTCTTCAAAATGTTATCTTTCTATACTTCCGGTTTAGAAAATCACGTTATCTTTAGCGCCACCTAACCCAAAGTTTATATTTAGCAACCAATAGATAACACGAATACATGTGCGGTCAGTTTTAAACGAGGGAAAAATCAAAATGGCTGAAAAGTGAAAGTGCTTGTTTATTGGACTTTGGAGAACAACTGGTCGTTTGTCAGCACTGCCGCTAATCGGGAAGGGTCAATGCCTGGGACAAGAACATTTGCCAAGTTCCAGGAGAAATGGTATCCTGCTATACCCATCGCAAGTAAGTTTTTCATCTGCACGCATGCTTCCGAGCACAAGGACAGTCTTGATAATTAAAATAAGATTTCTCTTGCTTTTAAGGAACAATCGACCATACAGTATATCTGGAGATTTTGGAGGAAATTATTTAAATTCTTCATATCCACAAAAATTTCCACTTATAAATGAATGAAATTTAACTTAAAAAGAGATTTTAACTGTCAAATTATTAAGTTTTTTTGTCATTTATTAACATTTTTTCGGATAACACGAATTCCGGATAAGTACAAAAATAAAATGATTTATTTTGCTTGTGTAGCACACGAAATTTGCCCGTTCTAACTTAATACAATTGAAAATACATTCTTATATTAATATGTATTGATTAATGTACCCACTTCTCGAAATCAGCATTTAATTTAAGCACCCACTAATTTCAATTGTCACATGTTGTCGCAATCCGATATTTTGAAGTTAAAACATTTTTTTAAATAATAAAAGGAGAAAAAGTTTGTAGGTGAATAAAACTGAATTAGCAGAAAACATTATTCAAAGTCGGTGCTTCTTTTGGCAGGTTTGCAACATTTGATCATCTGGAGGATGTCCTGGAGAGGTATGTTCTTCACCATCGAAGAAATTCAAAACCATAGTGCAACTGGTAAAAAGGCCAACAAAGACCAAGTTTGATCCTGCCAAATTTAACTTAATCAGCAAGCTCGTTCAGAAACATTTTGATATCACTGACAAGGAAGTGGTCATTAAGACACAAAATGTGAAGCAGAAGTATTTCAAGTGACAATGTTAATCAAGTATTCGTAATGAAAATTACTTTTGTGCTGAAAGAAAAGAAATAAAAAAGAATTGTCAGTGATTTTCCTACTTATATAACAGACTCCGAAAAAAGGCCTCTTCCCAATTGAAATTTTCTTTAAAATCATGCAGTTTTTCCAAAAATCTTAACTTAAACCAGCTTTTTTACTTCCCAAATAAGCAATTTTAGTGATAATTTTTCCCAAAATCAAGAGGCTATTTAGGCCTCTTCCCAATTAAGTAAGAAAAATCACTGATTGTGTCCAGGGTTCTGATCTCAAAAGGTGTAATTTAAGTTTTACCTCATGTGAGCATAGCATAATCGAGATGAACTTTTGTAATTGCCTTTGTCTGTTGACCTGTGCTGATGTAAAACAATGTCAGCTCTGTTCCTTTGACCTGTGCTGGTTTAAAACAATGTCAGCTTTGTTCTTTTGGAAATGTTTGAACATGTTTGAAAATGTTAAATGACCCCTTGAATTGGATATATTAACATGTTCGACCATGTTATGGGATCTTGATTTGTATATGTTTAAACATGTTTAGATGTGTTTGGATCGTGGTGCCATTTAATGTGAATGTTTAAACATGTTCCATCATGTTTTGGGGACATTTTTAATCATGTTTAGATGTGTTTGACAGTAAAGTAGTAGTTACATGATCAAACATATTCAAACATGTTCTGTGAACGTTTTCAAACATGTCTAAAGCATGATAGCTGGATAGAACAAAAACATGTCAAAATGTGATTGACCATGATACACTTTTTTGATCATCAAACATGACTTATCACGATTGTTGACTGATCCTGTTAGATCATGGTGCCATTTCACGTGCATGTTTAAACATGTTTAAAACATGTTCAAAACATGTTCAAACATTTCGAAATAACATGTAAGAACGTGTTTAAAACATGTTAAGACATGTTTCAATCATGAAATTTTCGCTAGGGTAACATTTCACACTAATACAGTAGAATCAAAGTCCGGTCGGACGACTGGCTTTCGAATTTACTTCTTCAATTTCGAGGAATTGTTCAAAGTTGCTGAATTTGCACACGAGAGTGACATGGCCGCCATTATAGTTAATATGCCATATTGTTAAGAAGTACAGACATTTAGACAAAGTAATTCTTTTTTAAACATTTTGGAAAGTATTCTCATAAATTCATTAAAGAATTTACCCCAACCCCGACCCGGGTGAAAGCAGTTTTCTGGTTTGAAAGTGACGATTGTTTTTCATAAATAAGGTAGATAGGTTTGCGCAGAGAGATATATATAACATTGGATCTTCATCTTTGGTGTGAGGACCCTCCGTGGCCAGGTGGTCAAGGTTGCTGACTTGCCCCTCATAGATATGGGTTTGAATCTCACTTTTGGCGTAAAATTCTTTATAGAGGTAGCCCTGCTGGTGCCTGATCGTAATGAAACAATGCAGGGGATGCATATTGGGTTTTCCTCAGAAAGAAAAAAAATAGACATAGATTCTAGTTAAATTAGGAGGGAAAGTGGGAATCATTACATCCATTAATGAGAAGAAATAGTTAATTCCAGTAAATTTTACATTTTTTATCTCTTTACATACTGTTACAACAACTACAAATATGATAATTATAAGTCTCTGGTTACATGGCAAGAGCAAAGAAAAAATAATAATAAGGACATAATAGGTTGTTTAAACTAGATTCTAATTAATGACATAAATGTGTAATAGTTGTACTGGTCACAATGTAATAAACAGAACTTTACATTGGAAAAAACCTGCTCAGACCATCAGTTTTCCAATTTCATGACTATGTAAGCCAGTTCCTATTCATAATGTTTTTGGCATTTATATAAATTTAAACAAGCGCCATTACTCACGCGGTCAAATTCTCATTTGAGCTGTCAGTTTAGAACATATTCCATAAACATGGTGTTGACTTGTCAGATACAATTAGTATCCCTAGCTTTCTTGGTGATTTTAGTGGTTAAAAGATCATTAAATAACATTAGTCTAGTGATTTAGTTTTGGGCCTAGGTACGTGCTACAAGTCTCAGAACTTTGTAAATTTTATTAAGAAAGTATAAGAAATTTATTTACTACCGTTTAACCGCCCCCTCCCCCAACAGCCTCAGAACTAGTTCGATTAAATATGGAACAATAGGGAACTTATCATATATTTAGATTCTAATCAAACTAACCATCTAACATCATGGAAATGTCTGGAAATTATGGTCTTACGAAGGAAACATATATACAAAATTGGTATCTGTCTTTAGAAAATTGACTTTGAGAGGTATCTCGATCAAAGATGAAGGTAAATTTTATTAGTTGTCGATATTAATGTACCAATATAAATAATAATTTAGCGTAGAATCGTCCACTTAGTTCGCAATGAGAGGGGGTGGGGAATGGTTTTAGAATTATTTAATAAAAATGGACCTTATTAAGTTATTTATGGATTGAGCAACATGTGTATATTTAAATAAACATTATGGAGAATGAGTATACAATATAAATTACTAGAATTAGAGGAAGGGTGTTATTTTGCAGAGGGACCAGGGCCAAAACACCATTTTTGGGGAAGGGGCCTCAGCCTTTTTCTTGGGGAAAATATGCGTGATTTTGGCATACTTTGGGAAAAGGGGTCTCAAATTTAACATAAACTTTTAACAAGTTCTTTAAAATAGAAAAGCAAAAGGCACTGGGAAATACAAATGAGGCAGTCAAAATCCTTAATTCAACACCATCATTTAATTTTGTTCTTAATTCTATGGGAAATTTCAAAAGACTGGGGAATTTTGAGGACCAAACTGGGGAAAAAAAGAGGCTAGTTTTGTTGCGGAAGTAGCCTATATTCGGCCTCTACAAAGAAGGGTTTTTTGGCCCTGGGGACTGTTGTCATTTTCTTCTTTTTTTTTTTTTCACTTATACACTATGTAATCTAATCACAGGGCCGGGGGCCCACACACACAGTGTTTGGATGGTATATACTGCTTGATGGTAACCTTAAAATGAGATTCAAATCAAAACCTTATAATATGTACATGTATCAGATGTCACAACACCATATTCTATGGTTAAAATATCAATTTTTAAAGGGGGAGGTACAAATAAACGTTTGCAAACAATAACACAACATAGTTGTGATTACTTATTTGTGCATATAGCCATGAAGCGCTCTTCATTTATCTGTTTCAAACTAATTCACGAATTCGAAAACCTAGCTAAACGCCGTTTTCAGGTACTTTCTGTACATAGCTCTGGGGAATTCGCCTAATGTAGTGTAATAGCGAACTCGATGTTTTCGGTATTTTTTTTAAATTAAATTGAAATAAAACAGTTATTTCTTTATAAAGAAATAATTAAATAGCATTGTATGAATAATTCCATACAAAAAATAAAGTAAACACACAAGTTTACGCAGAAAATAACCTTATTTATTATGGTAGATTCCACCACGTCTGTTTGAATTTTATTGATTTTCGTTATAAACAATTTATTTTTTTGAATAATTTGCAGTAGATATTTAAGGAATATTGATAATTTTCAAAAACATCAATGTTTTCCAGCTTAAACCGTGAAATAATGATAGAAAAATAGAAATATCACGTAACTGTGTTATGTACTTCATTTGGTGTAATTCCCCAGAGCTAAAACGGTAACGTACCGGAAAACGGTGTTTAGCTAGGTTTTCGAAAAGGTCAATTCTTCAAATCAGTGCAGAATTAAGTTGTCTTTCTGTTTATCAACTCAAAGTTTTGGAATTAAAGTTAAATTTTTGGCATTGATGGACAATGCTGAATGGTAGGAAATTTTCGTAATAATTTCCTCAGCTACGACTTATCACAGCCTCTTTATATTTGGTATACAGCATTAACATGTGGTCCCATACTGTGTAATTCAATTTCACATGTTTTGCTCTTCCACCTCCTGTTTACTGACTTATAGTCTAATTTTAAACAGTAATGGTCAATCATAGCATCACAGCCGATACAAATGCAACCTGGCCATTTCTGTATTTGACCCGATTTTATTTACTTATTCAAAAATTACTTTTTCAATTTTTTTAATGTTCTATTTTGCATGCTGTTTTTTAACACAATGACCAGCCCAGGTCCATTAAAATATTTGGCTAAACTAAAACCCTGATATGAGATATACTCACTGGAGGAGGTATTTCCCAGCCTGTGAAAGAAAAAAAAATCTTTTGCAGCCAAGACTTTGTTAACCTTAAGTTGGAACGAAATGATGCATTCCAGTTTTTTTATTTTTTTATTTTTATTTTTTTAATCCTAATAGTTTCATTAGCAGCTATTATCTATTTTGTTTTACAGTGTTTTACAGATGGCCTACAGAACAAGAAGGAAGTGCCAGAAATTGACAAGCTTTATTGTTTGTAAACCAGATCTCTCGGTTAGATTTATTGATACATTCAAAGGTAAATTTTACTATTTCTTGACTAATTGTGTTCATTCGAGTACTGTTGATGTATGGGTAATGAGAAATGAGAATATAAACCAGATTTAACCCATTACTAAATTATAGTAAATATACACCCCATTTCACGCATTATATTAGTTGATCGATATAAACACCTTGTCTCGCTCTTGTATGTAACAATTACAGTCCAACTCTGCATAAGCAAAAAACTAGATCTTAGTCAGATGATCCTGCCAGTCTTTTTTTGGTAAGGACTGGTTAAAACTTATATGAGTTTGTGGGTCAGTGTGACTCTGGTGTCTAACACATATTCAGAAATGTTTATCCTATCATAAATATGACCTGCATTTTAATGGATAACTCCTCAAAGGCATTTTGTCTGAAATCAATCATTTTTCACCTCTGATTTATGTGGAGAAGTTGGCAGTTACTTGCTGAGATCAGGTTACTAATATAGTACCAGAACAGAATCCAAGAACACTAGTGACATGATAATAACCAGCTGTTGCATAAGTGAAATACTGTTGAAAAGTGGCTAAAACCCGTAACAAACAAAATTTGTTCAATTAAAACAGTCTACAGGGTCATTCTGTAAGGTCACAACTTTGATCTGCATATTATAGATACAATGCAGCTCAAATTCTTGTTGCATTTTGAGTAATGATGATTTAAGATGATTTTTTTTTCAACTTGACTTTTACTTTTAGAAATTAAATTGAATCTTGGGAAATCATAACAGTGTTTTCATTTTTATCTGAAGCAAAAGATGCTCAAAAGAAAACAGCTGATTTCGCCAAGGGTCATGGGTGATAAGAGCAGTTCACTGAAGTATGAATGTCATGTCTTAATTAATCAGATTACTTTAATCTGTTAGATTTGAAATTGTATTGTAATTATCATGTTGAAGATAGAATTTGTCATGAATAACTATTGTGGTAGGGAAAATATTCTAAGAATGCATTAATAATATAATAAAAGTTAGGTGCTCAAAAGAATCGTTTATTTTGCAGGATATGGGTTATTTGCAAACACATTCATACGAAAAGGAACTCATATTGGAAATTATGAAGGGGAATTGATATCAGAGAAGGAAGGAAACAGGCGCCTTAACAAAAATGAAGAAAATAAAGGATCTGGTAGTTACCTGTTCTTCTTTAAGGAAAAAGGGAAAACTCTATGGTAAGAGATTGATTTTAAAAGTACCACTTCACCATTTATTCAAAAAGTTGTTTGCATCAGAGAAAGGAATTGATTTTGCAAGGTTACAAGCATCAAGTTCACTTTTAACACACTTGCTTTTATACATGATTCACTTCATCTAAAGACATCATGGAGAAATTCATGTGGAATCTAATATTTATGAAGTGATCATCTTAAATGACAATAGTAAACTATTATAACTTGCTATACAAATTCAAAAATTTGAACATCAAAGGGACAAATTAAAATATAATGGGACAATTGGCTACTTCCTTAGTAGTAGAAATTGACCCCACGGGGATGATCTTTTTGCAGCACTCATAGTGCAGAAAGAGTGGAATTGCTAGCCGAAAATAATAAATTTCAAGTTTCAACACATAAAACAGATCATAAAATTATTCCTGTAATAGATGCGCAAACCAGATTTTGATTATCTGCATGCAACACTAAAATCTGCCCAGTTCTGGTATGTACCGCACAAACAAATCTTTATCACTGTAAAAAAAAGACGTCCGTTCACATGAAAGTCTCAGAAAGATTTACAAAATGTCTCAGCACAATATTTTGTGCATGTTTGAAAGGGGAGGAGGGGCAGTGATTTTTCTCTCCAAATTGGGAAGAGGCCTTAGCCTCTTCATTTTGGGAAAAATTAACGCTAAAAATGCTAAATTGGGAAGTAAAAAAGCTGGTTTAAGTTCAGATTTTTGGGAAAACTGCATGATTTTAAAGAAAATTTCAATTGGGAAGAGGCCTTCTTTCGGAGTCTGTTATACAAGTAGGAAAATCACTGAGGGGACTCAAACAAAGTCAACAATTTATTGCATTTTCCTTTTTAGCTTGACTATTCGATAACAATAAGTAGAGCTATTGTAGTCGCCCGAGTGTCGGCGTCTGCGTCGGCGTAACCACTTATGTTAAAGTTTTTGTAATAGTTCAAATATTTTCAAAGTCCATTGACATATGGCTTTGAAACTTTGCACACTTGTTCACCATCATTATCCCAACCTGTATACAGGGGGAGGTAACTGTATCAAGCATTTTGACAGAATTATGCCCCTTTTTCGACTTAGAATTTACGTTAAAGTTTTTGTAATAGTTCAAATATTTTCAAAGTCCATTGACATATGGCTTTGAAACTTTGCACACATGTTCACCATCATTACCCCAACCTGTAAACAGGAGGAGGTAATTGTATCAAGCATTTTGTTTTTTACTATCAAGCACTAAGAATAGTCGAGCATTGCTGTCCTAACGACAGCTCTTGTTTTAGTAAACTGCAGGACCATGAAGTACATATTACAGCAGGACAAATGAAAATTCTAAGCTTCTTGTACTTTAGGACATGATTGTTGCTTGCAAAAAACTTGTTGAACCCTTTAATATTTAATATGTATTGTATCTAGAATATTTGAAAAATTCCAGTATTGATGCCACTCAGAGTGACTGTAAAGCGAGATATATCAATGATGATCACAGAAGTCCCAATTCAAAAGTTGTTGCAGAAAAAGATGCTACTTTAGCAATTTATACTATAAAAGATATACCACCAGATACAGAAATAACATTCAACTATGGTGATCCTAGTGTCTACTGGAGAAAGGTTAGTAAAAACATCTACATTACTAATGTATAGGGCTGTCATTGATTATCGTGATATCGATATATCATCGATATTCATCATCCGATACAATATCAATACACACTTTCACATATCGATACAAGCTAAACAATTTTTTTTATTTATGTTAGTTAATATACCTCTATTTTGGCTAATAAGAGAAGTGATTTTTTTCTAGTTTTCTTGATTAACTTGAACTTTAAAGTCCGTTTTCAACTGTCAGTGACAAGAATAACAGAAAAAAACAAACTTTCTGCTAGATTGTAGTATTTGTTATGTGTAATACAAGCATGCATAACACCATTATCCCAATTTATAACACATATACAAATGTTTTTCATTGTATCTACTGTCAGTTCATATATTGATGTATTGTTGATATTTGTCTCTCCATATATTAATACAAAATCTATGACAGTCCTACTATTGTTTTCTTGGTATATTAGAACAGTTACTTTTAATTCAAATCATGGTTATTGCATTCAGATAATTATGGCAGTTCGGCTAGAGGCAGTGTAAAACTGTCACAGTAAAGGGGTGGGGAACAGGGATTTCTGAATTTATAATATAGCATGCTTATAGCAATCTAGTTTAGGATTGTACTTTAGGCCACTTTGGTCAATGTCCCTGATGTGGATTATAGAAAAATGAATTCAAATCAATAACTTTCAATAGGAATAAGATATTGCAGCAAAATTTGGATGTTACTTCTAAGTAGACAAGTACAGAAAG